GAATTTAATCATACTGCTGCGTCTCCTTCATTTGAACAATGGCACCATCTCACAGAGGGGTGAGGAGTGTATTCTTTGCAAGGTACTGATTTTCAAGGTACCTTCATTCATTCATTCCTCTCAATAAATTCTTTCTGTGATGTCAGGAATATGTACAGTATTCAGTTAAGTATCTTCTGCAGTGCCAGTTTGGTTTTCTGACCTTAGTTTGTGCTTGTCTTGAAATGTTCTTTTATCACCATAAATTTTAAGAGAAGACTTTGACAGTTGACAGTTACTTCTTTTAATGACTTGAAATATGTCATTTTTCCCTGGATTCAAGGCTGCTGATAAGAAAACTGATGTCATTCTCATGTTTATCCTTGTAGGTGAGTTGGCATTTCCCCTGACAATTTTTAAGACTGAGACAGGGTCTCCCTGTAGCCTCGGCTGGTGTTGGACTGACAATGTGGATCAGGCTAGCCTGGCTCTCATACAGATCAACTTGCATCTGCCTCCTGAGTGCTGAGATTAAAGGTGTGCACCACCACACTAGGTGGTGTGCACGCCACACTAGGGCATGCCATTAAGTGACTTTTCTGGTCAGCTCCATTAGGTCTAAGTGTTTGTTTCAGTGTTAATTACCTTGCTGAATTTCCCTCAAATTTAACAATTTCTTCAAATTGATGAACATTACATCCACTTTGTTAACTTTGCTGTCCGTGTCTTGAGTTGATTTCTGTTCTGGATAGCTTTTATATCAACTTGACACACCTCTGTTGAGGGAACCTCAATTGGGGAATTGCCTCCATTGGACTGGCCTGTGCCCATGTCTATGGGATATTTTCTTGATTGTTGAGTGATGTGGGAGGGCCCAGTCCACTCTCGGCAGTGCCACTCATAGGTAGGTTGTTCTGCATTGTATAAGAAATCAGGCTGAGCATGGGCCAGGGGAGCAAGCGAATAAGCAGCACTCCTCCATGACCTGTGTTCCAGCTCCTGCACCCAGGTTCCTGCCCTGAGTTCCTACCTTGGACTCCCTGGTGAATGGTGACCTGGAAGGTGTAAGCCAAATAACCCCTTTCTTCCCCAAGCTGGTATTGATCAGAGTGTTTTGTCACAAAAATTGAAAGCAAACTAGAACGGAAATTGGTACCAGAATTGTGGGGTATTGCTGTGACAGACCTGACCTTGGTGTTTGGGGGAGGATTGTAGAAGTGTTTGGAACATTATTCTGGAAAAACCATCGAGTGCTTAGAGTTTGTCACTGTGGCGCTTGGAACAATTATGCTGAAAGAGTTGTGGGCAATAGAGGCCTGGCTTGTGAAGCTTCAAAGGGAAGCAGGGACTATCAGGGATGTTTGTGTGATATCATGAATTGAGAATCTGGGTTCTGGTCGGCTGGGACTGAAGAATCAGCTGTGACTAAGAAGAGACCAGAACCATGAAGAACCACCTTTGCTTTACTGGGACAATTGATGCTGGTTAGCTGGGGCTGAAAAATCGTGGTAAGTAACAAGAGACCAGGATCACCATGGCAAAATCTTCTGGTAAATATGTTCTCAGGGTAAGCACACCAAAGTTATGGTCTAGAGGGGGCCTCAGTCTCTATCTCAAGCTGTAAGCAGGACTTAGTAATGTGTAAGAGTCTCCTGCGTAGTTGTGGTGTTGAAAGTGTGAAGGGGTTGCAGAGAGCAGCTGAGCCATAGGAGGCCAGGAAAGGCCAATGGTGTAATTTCAGCCTCAGTTGCAGCAAAGACCCCAGGATTGAAGAGTTCATGGAGAGAATATTAGGCTTTGCACCCTGAGAGGCCAGAAGAACTCATTGGTGAAGGTGCAGTCTCAGTTTCAGTGGCTATTCTGGGTTTTTTGAGATGCCAGGACCATGGGACCACCAAGGATAGTAGCAGATTTGGAATGGAGCCATCTCGAGTCTGTGAGATGAGCTGTGTGAGCTGTGGACAGCAGAGCCAGAGAAGTGGAGCTTCTGGAACTCTTTGAAGCCCAGAAGATCATGAGTGAATCCCAGATGTACAGACATGAACTACTTTGCTGGACTGACTTAGGTTTTGCTTAGGTGTGCCCAGTTCTTCCATTTTGAAATAAGACAGTACTTGTTTCTGATTTTACAGGAGCCCACATTTAAAAGACTTTTAAAAGAGCTGGACGTGGTGGCACATACCTTTAATCCCAGCACTTGGGAGGCAGAGGCAGGCAGATCTCTGTGAGTTCAAAGCCAACCTGGTCTACATAGTGAGTTCAAAGCCAGCTGGGGCTACAGGGAGACCCAGTCTCAAAATAAGAAAGAGAAGACTTTTAAAAGAGATGTGAACTGAACTTCTAAGTGTCTGGATTTTTTTAAGGACTGTGGAACTTTTAAGGTTGTACTGTTCTTATGTTGTGATATTGTTACCATCATACCTTAGGGATAAGAAATGTAAAGCTTGTGGTTTAATAGTGATGTGTTTGTGTGTCAAGTTGACAAGGGGTCAACTGTACTGGATAGGTTTAGTGTCACCTGGACACACCTTGACTGAGGGAGCCTCAACTGGGGAATTGCCTCCATTGGACTGGACTGTGCCCATGTCTATGGGGTATTTTCTTGACTGCTGAGTGATGTGAGAGGACCCAGCCTGCTTTGGGTGGTGCCACCTGTGGGCAGGTCTTGTATAAGAAAGCAGGCTGAACATGGATCAGGGGAGCAAGCCAGTAAGCAGCATTCCTCCATGGCCTGTGCTCCAGCTCCTGCCTCCAGGTTCCTGCCCTGAGTTCCTACTTTGGGCTCCCTGATGAACTGTGACTGGGAAGATGTAAGTCAAATAAACCCTTTTCTCCCCAAGCTGATATTGGTCAGTGTTTTGTCACAGCAATTGAAAGCAAAGTAGAACAATTTCCAGTGAACTCATTGGCTTGGGTCCTATATGTAGTCACTGATTCATTAAAAAGTAGAACCATAGAATATTTTGCGCTATATCAGTTCTTGCTGTCTTTGGTTTCTGGTGCTTAGTTGTTGGGAGTTTTGGAGTTGTGGTAGTAGCTTTGCTTTCTCCTATTTTTCTGTATCGATGTTGATTTGTGCACATCTGTCAGGAGGTATGTGTCTATCCTCCAGTTTTTACTTTTCCCTTTCCCCCACTCTTCATTTGTATTATCTTATGTGAGTCTTCCCAGTGTGTTGTCTCCACATTCACCTGCAGAGGAATTATAGTCCTCTGCCATGACCCGAGTAAGGTTCAGAGACAGTGGCAGTAGAGAACTTTGTCCCTGGGTGTTCTCTTTCTAGCCGTGCCTTTCAGCAAGACTGTACCAAGTTCAAGAAGGAAACTCTTATGTTCCTTTTATTCTGCTCACCAAGGCGGTGGTAGGGATGGCCCCTCCTCCATCTGTTCACTTCAGGAGATTCATGGAGACTCAGTTTCAGGCATAGATTCACATTTCTGCCTCAGTCTCCAGCCTGCACTTCTCTAGCTTTTTCATTCAGGATGTATCTAGCGTGGACATATCTCTGCAGCCTGAGACGTCTCTCTTCAGTTTATCTCAATATTTATTTTGTATTTAGCCTTGCATTGATCTCTGTGCATACAAGGGGCCAGGCTTTTTCTAGCCTTCCCAGACCTGTTTATGCATGTAAAGAACCTCTTACTCAGTATGTGGGTGGATTAGTTGCCCTCCCTAGTCAAGACTAAGTGATGTTGGAGATGGGTCACAAGTTTGCCACAGGGTTTGTAAGAGGAGTCCTCAGTTTTCAGTCTTGTCAAGAGGGGCTTACATGGGTGTGGATCCATCCTGGTTCCTGCGCAGTATCATTGCCCTTAGGATCTTGAAACTGAAAGCCAAACCTGGCATAAGGGTCTCCCTAAGGATACAGATTTCATCCTGCAAATGGTGAACATGTAACTGAGCCTCAACAGCTATTGTTCCCCTTTGGACACTGGCTGGCTGTTACTAGCTGTGGCCCATAGCTCGGCAGAACCAGAGCTGAGTCACATGGCAGCTTTATGGCCCACAGCCAGGACCAAGTCCTGTATCGGTACTTCTAGTACACAAAGAGGTATGTTCAATTCTGTGCCACTGGATGAGCCAGTGACTGGGGAACGTTGGTTCCTTGTGTCAGGACACTTCAAGTTCTATGGTTCAACTAAAGTTTCCAGGTCTGATATCTCAGCACATACCAGTACCGTTTTAACTGTATTTGTGATGTGACAACTATGTTTTCATAAAGGCATACAAAATGTCATGTTAAAATGTGAATTTCACAATATTCTTTAGTTAACAAGACACATCAACATTTTATCACATCAGACATCTCCATCATGGCCTGAATGCTATTTGAGTCAGAAAATTCCTGGGCTAGGATTTGTAAAAGGTGCTGTAGGATAGTTAGCTGTAGTTTTGGCTCCTACCTACTGCATTTCAGGGGCATTTTACCAAAGTATGTGGACCAATTGTCCCAAACACTGACATTTGATTCACAGGGTGGAGTTGGGGGGGGCGCTAAATGTCTGTACTTGGATAACTGTTAGGTAAATGTCCTTGAAGATCTGTGTAACAGAGTTAAAACCAAGGATGTACATTACAAATATATCTATCATCTATTTTATCTTATGATGTTCCCTATAAATGAAAATATATTAAATAATTAAAATATATTGGCTTACAGGTAATGTACAAGGGCAATGCTCTTAATAAAATGCAAATATAATAAAATACAATATAAATCTGCCTTTTGTGTGGATAATTTGTCTTGCTTCATATACTATGTCAGTTGTTTGAATTTGAGTTCTTTATAACCCTTGCTTTTATACTCCCAGGCTTTCAGAAGTCCATGGAATCCAGTCTGTGGAAGTGTCACCTCTGAGCCTGGACCACAGACTGTGCATCTTACTAGAATCTACTCATATTTATCTGTCAATCATTATATTCAACCACACATTCCATTCATTTTAGCTTCACAATATCATTTATTTATATTTGGTTGCTCTAGCCTGACCAATCAGAATATTGAAAACTTCATTAAGATAATGTTTCTAAGTGACCCAATTTCTGGGATTTTCCTTATATCAGAAATTTTCATGGGATTGATAGGAAACTTGCTGCTCTTCATATTATACCTGTACACCTTTTTAACTCAAACTCACCCAAGGAGGCCTGTAGATATGATTTTTGCACATCTGACACTTGTCAATGTTTTGAGCATCGTGTTCAGGCTGTTACCAGATGTCATGTCCTCCTTTGCAGTAAGACTTTATTTCCGTGATGCAGGCTGTAAGGCAGTTTTGTATGCATACAGCGTTACCAGGGGTCTTTCTATCTGCATCATCTCACTACTGAGTGTATTTCAGGCCATAACTGTCAGTTCCAGTCATTCCAGGTGGGCATGGCTCAAGTCTAAGCTGGCCTCATGCATCTTTCCATCTTTCCTTTTCATCTGGATTATCAACATATTTCTCTATTTTCCCATGATTGAAAATGTAAAGGCCCAAATCAACCTCACTGTTGATTCTAGATATTCTTATACATACTGTGGAAGAAACCAAGTTCGGTATTACACCACAGTGTCACTTTTAAGTGCCATGATGATTAGAGACATCCTGTTTGTGGTGCTCATGATGTGGACCAGCCTCTACATGGTGAATTTCCTGCTCAGACATAGAAGGAGAACAGAGCATGTCCACAGTTCCAGCCTTACTTCCCAGTCATCTTCTGAAAAGAAAGCCACCCACAGCATCCTTCTGCTTGTAGGGTTCTTCGTGTTCCTTTACTGTTCCAACAGCTTTGTTACCATCTATTTGTTTTATAGACCCAAGAAGAACACAGTGTTGGATAAGATTAGTGGAATTCTATCATCATGCTACCCAGTCACCTGTCCTTATGTCCTGATGAACAACAGGAAAGTTATTTCCAAATGTATTTCTTCCTTTTCAAACTTTAAATTTACCCTCCCCACCAGAGGATACACTAGCTAATGTTACATCTTATACTTGCTTACAGCATTCTTCACATTATATGAGGAAACAAGCCGTACCATTCTTGAATACCAGATATTTGGCTAGAAGGAATTGAGAGACACTATACTTTTTTAGACAGGGTCTCAGGTAGCCCAGGTTAGCCTCAAACTCACAGTGTAGATGAAGACGACCTTGAACTCTTGACCTTCTGGCTTCCATTGTCCTGAATGCTGAAGTTTCTGACATTTCATCAATCACGCCTGTTTTCTTTAGAGATTGTGGTTTTTTTTTTCTTTTGGTGTTATTGAGACAGGGTCTCCCTGTATCCACAGCTGGCCTGGATTTGCTGTGTAGACCAGGCTTGGTTCGAACTCACAGAGATCCACCTGACTCTGCCTCCTGAGTGCTGGGACTAAAGGTGTGCGCCACCACACCCGGCACCATGGTGTGTTTTCAGTACAAGGTTTTGAAGTCTTAGTGTGAACAAGGAGGCGGCGGTGAGCTTGGCCCGGGCGGGGCGGGGCAGCGCTTGTGCTAGCTCACCTCTCACCTGCCGCAGGCGCCCTGGAGCCCTGAGGGTCTCCGGAGCCGGTGTTGAGCCTTTGTGAGGCTCGGGCTGTGCGGCTGAGGCACCGGACAGAATGCGGGCGCCTCGGGAGCTTTTCCCTTCTGGGGAGTATGGACAGAAAGGGAACCTTGGATTGAGGGCCGCGAGTGGCACGGGGCAACCATGACTTCCGCCGAGAAGCTTAAGAAGCCACCGTTGGCTCCAAGCCAAAGTTTGCGGTGGCAAATAATAAGCCAGCTCCCTGTCCTATTGCACCTAAACCGGACACCGTGAATGCTAGTGCTTCTCCGTTAACAAAGAAAACCAAACCAGCAATTGCACGGAAACCAAAATTTCTGACAGGCTGTTATTCAGGTGCTAAGCAGTCAGCAAAATGCTGGGGGTCCACACGATGATTATATTTTACCAGCAACCTCCTGCAGTTCATAAGCCTGGGAATACAGAGACTGTGTAAAGCAGTTTGTTTTAGATCCTCTGGGAATGAAAGAAAATTTAGAAAACAAAAACGATGAGTCCTCTTTGCAAAAAGTGGGAGTAAATGGGATTCACATGGTGAAAATTAATGAGCAGAGTGATTTTAAAGGCCAGCTTGCTAGAAGAGAAGCTCAAAGAGGCTTTAACACAGCAGACATCACCTTGTGCCCCGAGGAAGCACAGCTCCCCAGACAACCCAGAAGCGAATGGTGACTGCAATTCCAGCAGGTGGTTCAGAATTGAATTTGCAGGTTTGTCACCTTCCCTGTCCAGTTTTGAAAAAGTTCCTCCTCATCACAGCTGCCACCAAGAGCTTCCTAGGGATGAATCTCAAAATCCTGAGACTTGTCGGGATGACAGTGAAAACAGCAGTGGTCACGTCCATTCATGTGAACCAGATGGCAAAACGAGGACTTTGGTGTCTTCACATGGAATTGGTGAGGCGACAGAAGCCGGAGATCTTCGGCCTTTAGAAATTCCCTTTTTACCTCATACCTCAAGATTTCCAACTCCCAAACCCAGAAAGATGCACACTGCCTGATACTTTGCCAAAAGAATGTAGATACTCCTAAATCAAAGTGCTGAAGAACCAGAGACTTCAAACAGTAGCTCTGCTTGTCTAACGGATGATAGTTTGAAAACAACAAAGCCGGTGTTCTTCATCAGAATGTTTTCTATAACCAGGAGCAAGTGAACAAAATGAAGCCAAGGAATAAAAGGAAATCGACTAGGGAGTCAAACAGTGGCAGACGAGGCTATTCTAAGAAAGCTGTGTGTCATGAGACATCTTCCTTTGAAGAAGTGACATCTTTAGATACAGACTCTAATTTCAGTTCAGACAGCTCAACAGAAGATGCTTCTAGTACATTACCTACTGTGGAGAAAGGGACCAGCTTTATGAGATCCAGTGCTCAGTCTTTGAGCCTGCCTAAGCAGGTCAAATCAACTTGCAACACACATCTGCCAACTATGTGTAACCCAGGATCCTCAGTCCCTCAGATGCAAAAGGAATCTTCCTCAAAAATTGTTCCCCCCAAACCTCAAATACACAGCTTGCCTGCTTCAGGAATGCTTTAAAAAGCTGCCTCTGATGAACTTGTGGAGAAAAATTCTTATTCTTCAAGTGAAGAAAAAAATTCAGAGAAGAATGTACAAAGTCACCTTCAACCTTTGTGTCCCCTAAACCATGGTATAACATCATCATCCTTTGATAACCCCAAACCAATTTCAGAAAAGCCTGTATGGAAATTACCTCTTCCTATTTTACCCTTTTTAGGGAACCCAGAATCCTTGAAGTGTATCACCTTATCCAAAGTAGCCAGCATGGAGATGTCACCACAGGACATGTGCTCAGCAGAGGGCAGAAAGGGCTTGAAAGTGATTGGCATGGTTTGCTGATAGGAGGAAAGAGAAGCAAAACCATCAAGGCATATTCTGCAGACAATTTCAGCCTTGAATCTCAGAAGATGAAGTCTTGGGATCAGACCAGTGCAGCAAATGGTCAGAGAGCTGAGTCTTTGGATGGCCAGGTGCTCTCCAGGGATTCATCTTCTCAGGTGCCCTGAGACTCTATTATGAATGACAGTGCACCAGAGTATAAAAATGTACGCCATTATGAGGAGATACCCGAGTATGAGAATTTACCATTTCTTATGACTGGAGGGAAAACCCCAGAGTTGGAATGGCAGAATTGCATCAGTGTGGAGGATACTGATGCAAATGTTTATGAGGTGGAAGAGCCCTATGAAGCTCCAGATGGCCAGCTGCAACTTGAACCTAGATAGGCATCAGTGTTCCAGTTCTGGAGCATCCCAGGAAGGACAAGATGATCTCGATCTTGGTCTTGGTGACCTGCCATCTGATGATACAGCCATCAGCAGTTCTGATGAAGATGATGTCAGCTCTGAGTCCAGTAAAGGAGAGCCAGACCTGCTGGAAGATAAACAGGATTTTTCAGGATGCTGTGGCTCATGCTTCCAGGCAACTTGGGAAGCCAGTGATTGACGACCAAACCCTAAACCAGATCCTGTACTATTTACCTCAGCTCTGTGAACTCAACTGGGATCTCATGAAGGAACTGGAGGAAAGAATGTTGAACTGGACTGAAGAACAAAGAATTGCTATACCTTTGTAAAGAAGGGACCATATTTAAAAATGTATTCCACATACATCAAAGAATTTGATAAGAACACAGCTTTGCTGCATGAGCAGTGCACTCATTCTCTGCAGTCTCATTCGCTGCACTTTGGTCAGTTGTGGCCTTTTGTGTTCATCACCCTCTGTTGCATGAGGAAGCTTTGATGGTGAGAGTTGACAGAAACCCACATGGGAACCGTAGATCTCACAGATCCAAAGCTTCTGTGTGTGAATGAACACTCTATCCTGCTTCATCCTGGAATGCTGTATTTATGCTTTTATTCATAGTAACATCTCACATTATGGAATTGATTTGCATTGAACACAAACTGTAAGTGAAATAAATGGCTGAAAGAAAAAAAGAAAAATGAAATCATAAAATTCACAAATAAATGGATAGGATTGGAAACAACCACTCTGATGACAGAACTCAGACCCAGAAAGAGAAACATGACATTTCTCTCATAAGTAGGTACTAACTTTGAATCTTCAGATGTGTGTGTTCCACTTGAAATAACCCATCAGAAAACTCGTAAGTGGCCATAGGAGATGCTTTCAAGGGAGATGAGATAGAATGCAGTGATATAAAGTGGGAGTCATGGAACAGAAAGAGTTAAATGGGGTTGGGGATAGGTGAGTAGATTAGAGGACAGAGTATGGGGAGGGATAACTCACACTAAAGGCCTTTTGAAAAAGTCATATAGAAACCTACTACTGTACAAGTTTCCTTAAGAACGTTAATCTCTGTGTAGTCCAGACTGGGTTGAAACTCAAGCTGCCCTCAGCCCTGTGGCATTCCTCCTGCCTCTGCTTCCTGTGTGTTGGGATCACAGGATTACAGGTACATAATACCATGCGCAGGCAGAGTCAGTTATTATTCTAAGTGGAAAGTAAGGTGACTGTATTTCAACAATTGAATAGTAATTTTTAAGTGTATTTTATTGAGTTTTTCTGAATTTTATATAATAGATCTCTTTTGTATCCTTAACAAATAGCTATTTTAGTTATCAATATAGTCTCCACTTCCTTTGTTAAAATTTTTATTGAGCTTTTGTACATTTCATTCAACAGTATGAAAAATTAATCAAATTTGAGTCCCTCCCCTATTCGTGTCCCCTCCCTGCCCCCCACTGGACTTTATGTATTCTGGTTACATGTTAAGTCCTATCCAATCAAACATTTGTACCCAGATGTCCTTCAGTGAAAATTCACTCACTGGAGTCTAGTCAGCCTATCTAGAGATTGTTGGTATGGCCTACTCTCCCTCACCCAGTAATGATCACTCTCCAGTAGTTCCAGAGTAGAGCTGACCCACTACCCATTTCTCTCGCTCCACTATGGGCCCTTGTCTGATTGAGTTGGCATAGATCCTGTGCTCAATATCACCATTGCCATAAGTTCATGTGTGCAAGCTTCCAGTGGCTTGAAATCTCTGCCTCCCCATGTTCATGTACCAACCCTGGCTCTAACAGTCTTTCTACCCCCTCTTCCACAATGGTCCCTAAGCCATGGGTGGAAAAGTTTTGACATAGGAGTCCTACCCAGGGACATACACTCTGCAGTCTTGTACTCTTTAAAACCTGGCCGGTTGTGGCCTTTTCTGTACATCACACTCTGTTGTATAAGGAGGCTTCACTGGTGAGAGTTGAGGGGTATACTAGTTCTCTCTCCACTCCATGTTCTAACATAGCAGATGGGGGGGGGGGGGTAAAGAGAAAACTAGTAGAGGTTTCCACTGTAGATATGTCACCTAGGACCAGTTGTGGGGTTTTGCAGTAACCTCCATCTGTTCAAGGAAGTTTCTTTGATGAGTGGTATATGGTATACTTGTCTGTAAATA